CAGACTGGCTGTTTTCTGCAGGTCAGACTGATTTACAGGCTCTTCAGTCTTCCTCCATGATGCTCTGCTCCCGCCCTGCTCCGTCCTACAGCGGCCTGGATGGAGGAGGAACGGCCGCTGAGAAGATCCGGACTGAAACTGGATGTTTTCCCATCCGAGTCTGATGATGATGATGATGATGATGGTCGGACAGGTGAAGGCTGGCGAGGATGAGAGCGCGACGAGGAGGAGCGAGAAGGAAACAGCGAAGAAACGGGAAAATCTTACAAATTTACAATAAAATGTAAAATAGTGATGGTGGATTAAATATGAAGTGGTTATCCGTGGTTCAAGAGTAGAAATAAAAACGACAGCGACATGTTTTAATGACGTCACACTCGGCGCCACAGCGCCACCTGCCGGAACTTCAAATTATGACAACTAATTAGCAGACAGCCAGGTGTTCGGACATTTTATACCTAATTATGAATAAAATAGGAATAAAAATCATACCCTCATGACATAAATACTTATACAGTAAGCATGTAGGTTGTGATAAAAACTCACCGGCCTTGTTTGAGTTCGATGAGTTCTTTTAGTTAGAACCGGAAGCTAATGTAGCCTCCATGCTAACACTAAAACTTATAGTTTCAAAAATGTATTTTCTGCTTTACTTAAAAAAATAAAAAACAAAAGCATGCAGGCTCTTCCTGCTCTTAAGACTAACGTTGTTCTCTTGAGTCGGTACCGACTCCAGCCTTTTAGGAGAAAAACTGAAACACGGAGTAAAATATTTGAACTCACCTCTGGACTCCGTCAGGTTCATGATAAAAATTAGCATTTCTGCTAACACTATGCTACTGTTCTTTAAAAATGTTAATTTCTGTTAAACACAATATTTACTAAATAGTATTACATAAATAATAATTTGGTTTGCTGTTCAGATTAATGGTATTTTTGTTTTCATTGACGTCTGCTCCAGGTTCGCAGACAAAATGGCGGTCGGTGTAACAGCAAACTCTGTAACCCCCAGAATCTGAGACCTCATCAAACTACGACTCTGAATAAACAAGTTTTAAATAAACATCGTAAATATAAACAGGTTAAAATATGTTTTCTAATCTGTAACAGATACATGTTTTTAGATAATTTATGAAATTAGGCTAAAACTTGGAGCTTTTTTTTATTTTATTTTATGGCAGCACAGTAGCTCAGTGGTTAGCACTGTTACCTCACAGCAAGAAGGTCCTGGGTCCAATCCCCGGTTGAACTTGGGGTGTTTCTGTGGTTTGCATGTTGTGCGTAATTTCCTCCCACAGACCAGAAACATGCATGTTATGGTGCTTCAGGCCTCCGCTGCAAAAGATCTGATCTCAGTGGGATTTGTCTGGTTAAATAAAGGTTAATAAATAAAAGTGTTTTTAATAAATAAAAGTGTTTTTAGCGTTTTCTTAAGGTCGTTTATTTATTTGGCTTGTGTTTGATTAGTTCTAGCTTTATAACTTTTATGTCCAACATTTAGCCTCTGCATCCTCGCCGTTTTTACAGAAACTTGTTCCCAATAACGATTGTTTACGGAGCACAATAAAATAATTAAACTTGTTCTTCTGTCATTTTTTTATTTTAAATTCAGTAACAATCATTTCTCAGCAAAGAATCGAACAAGATCTAAAGAAAGAAAACAAGAATTCCCTTTTTTTATTATTACAGAAACAAAATGGCCTCTTCATTAAACATCTGAAGGGATTTTTCTTTTTAAAAAAATAAAGATGTGAATCTCTCACGCCGTCAGCGGCTTGAATGTCACGCAGGAATGTTTTTTATTTATTGTGTGACGATGGAAACGAAAGGAGGAAAACTCACATTTTAGAAGAAACTGAAGTAAAAAAAAGCAGCTTTGGTTCTTAAAGTCTGCAGAGTTTTATTTAAAGATAAAACACATCAAAGGTACAACTATTTGTTTATTACTAAAATTATCTTTGTGTGATTCTTATTCCAGTTGAATTTTGAATTAAAATGTGCAAATATCCCAAACTTTATTCCAAATCCTCAAACGTATGAGCAACGACTTCAGAGATGAACTTTTACTGAAATAGGTTTTTAAAAAAAGAGCCAAAATTATCTAATATAATCTGAACAGAATTCAGATTTAATCCTTTTCAGGAACCTAAAATAATCTTTAAATTATTTGGACTCTGGTTTTTGCCCTGCTGAAAATCTGAATTGTGTTCCAAGAAAGATGGAGACACAAGGATCAGATGACTTTAAGGTGCTTTGTACAAAAATACTTTTAAACGTCTTTAAATCTAAAGTTTTAGCGGCAGCAGAAAATAAAACCCTGCAGTTCTCAGAAGGCACTTTTGGAAGCAGTCCTCAAACCAAACATTCAAAAACACAACGAGCACCACTTCCTGTACGACAGGAAGTCGGCACAGCTCCTTCAGTACGCAGGAGGGGGGCTCTGCAGCTCCTCGTACTTCGGGGGAGTGTTGTGCAGCTCCTGGTACTTGGGGAGGTTGGGGGTGAAGATGGTGGGGACGGTGAACAGGACGGTGGTTCTCTCGGGGTGACGCAGCTGGTGGATCATGATGGAGGACAGAATCATCCCGAGAACCTGCGGCGACACAAAACACCGTGAGACGACAGGAAACCTCCACGGCTTCAGGCGGTTTCTTCTGGAAGAGCTCACGACCGTCAGAGGAGAGGGAGAGGAGCGGCGCCCCGTCCTTCAAAATAAAAGCTTCCCTAAAACTCAGAGGGGAACAAAGCTCTGCTCCAGTCTAACCTCAGACAGGGACTGGAAACGGATTCAGTTCATTGTGATGTTTCAAAGTCAGGAGGATTTTACTGGTTTTGGACTTTATTAAGACGACCAGTGCTTGATTTGTAAACCAACCAACGTTGGAACGCAAATAGTGGGGGAGGGGGGTCTGGGGTCCTCCCCCAGAAGATTTTGAATAAAGTAGATACCATTTCCTGCATTCTGGTGTATTTTAATGAGTTGTTGAACATCTATGTTTACCTACATTTGTAAATATTTGATTCAATAATTATTTTAGAGAGCAACAGGAAGTAGCCTGACCAACAGCTCTCCTTGTGTGAATAGAGTACGCTCCGCTTCTCTCAAGCATCCTTTGACTGTTCATGGCGGCTGGCTGTGGGCTCCTGCCCAGTACAACAGCCTGGTCAGCTCTGCTCTCACCCACACCTGCTCCAGTATTACCATCGTCTTCATGCGCTTCAACTCTCGGTTGTTTAGTTGTACAACGAGAAGACTTTTTTTATTAAAGTAAAATGGACGGTCTTTTCAACATTTTGATCTGTTATTTTGACAAATTGGTGCCTTTGTTTTGATACATGTTCGTCACGTGATTACCCATCAAACATTTCACTTATATTTTTAATAATCAACATTTTATCAATGACCCACAAACTGTAAAACTGATTTGTAATTTAGTTGTGCTGTTTAATTATATTTGTGTTTTTAATTAAATTGCCCATGTCTGAACTTTTAGGGGCAGAGATTTTTTAAGGGTAGAAGCAGAAATGCTTACTTGAAGGAGCAGCTCTAATGTGATATTAAGAAGCTCGTAAGTGGCTGTTATGTTTAAAATTAGTGTTTATGTCATTTTCAGATAACATATACATTCAACATTTTATTTGTTCCAGGCAGTCATATTTGTTCATAACGTTATTATTAGTAAGTCTGAGAGTTTTTTTCATTCAACCTTTATTTATACAGGTTAGTAGCGTTTCTGGATCCAAGCAAACGGTTGGCAGAACACACCCTGTCAAAATATAAAAGGCCCGTCCACCAGCAGGCTGTTTTGGGTCGAGACAACAGGAGCGGACAATTCTTCAGCCTTCACATGGATCCGTTTTCTGTGTTCGATACGTTCTCGTGCACAACACGTGTTTTTTCTCTTTGCATCCAAACTACGAGTATCTTGGACGAGATGAGGGGCAGGAGCGTCCAGCAGCGATGGACCGTCCATTTTTACAGCGGCCCTTAAATTTCAAAGACGAGCATCAGCGAGTGAGCTCGAACAAAGTGCAGAGATGAAGGTCAAAGACCCAACAGGACCGGTTTGATCTGATTCAACGTCCGCGAGTTAAAGAAATGGTTCAGAGTTGTTCTGTACTGGGCTTAAACATCTGGTTTCATCTGTAGTGGGTTTAAACATCTGGTTTCATCTGTTCACCACTTTATATTAAGAAACGAGATTCAACACTCACGGCCAGAGACGCCAGAGTGAAGAAGAATCCGATGACGATGTTGGCGCCCAGCAGGCTGTAGTACATGATGATGGGGAAGCAGGGCTGTGAAAACAGACAACCTTCAGTTCCTGTCCTCAGTCTGAACTCTGTCAAATCACTTGTTTACTGACCCGACTGTAGATGGACCTCGACTCCACTTGACTAAAGAACTGAAATTGCTAAAGTGAAAAAAGAAAAGAAGATGAGCGACGTCAGATGAGAAACAGGCGAGCTCCGGTGGATCGGAGCGGCGAGCCTCACCTCGTACAAGACCCTCTTGCACTCGTATTCCTCCTCCTCCATCGGCGGGCACAAGCACGAGTCGGGGAACTGGTTTCTCCAGTCGTCGGAGCTGAACAAGCCGCAGCAGTGCAGCTAAAACCACAGAAGCAGCAGGAGGTTAGAGAGCTGCAGCTGTGAACACGTCGGTCTGCGGCGCCGACACAAAACAAGAGTTCTCTACGAGTTTATTTGAGTCTCTCAGTCCACGTTAGGGGTGGACGATACGGCTAAAATATAATATCGTGATATTTCAGAGCATTCTGATGAGAACTATCAATTATTCATTTGACAAAATTAACTTAGCATGTTGCTTTGCAGAATTATATAAAAACTAAAACAACAACAACAAGGGTTAATTTTACTGAAATTATTTTATTTAGTAAAGTATTCAGTCTCCAAGTATAAAAATGATCCTTCTCTTATTGTTGTTCTGTTCTAGGGGGGGGTCTCAGCCTTACAAATAGGCTGAGGAGCTCCATGATCCAGGGTGGTGCTGGACACCTCCATTTGGAGGTTTTTCTGGCCACGTCCCACAGGGAGGAGACCCCAGGGCAGACCCAGAACTCTCTGGGTTCTGGGTACTCTCCAGTTTCAGACAGCAGTCATTGACTGGTCAGCAGAGCTACGTCACTGGATGACCCGCCCAGCAGAACTACAAACATCAGAACCTTCACGTCCTCGTCCTGTTGACTGACGGCGCCACACGAAAGGAGCTCAGAGACCGAGAGACACGAGAGTTGACGCAGCGTGGCTACACCCGGACTGATGGTGCCGGGGTAAGAAGAATCAAGTCCCATTAGAGGGAGATGAAGGACCACAACGAGTGGAGCAGCTCGGGGCTGATTTTAGATGAAGACGATTTTCAGACAATGGGGACGAACCTCAGACGTCTCTGTTCCACATGGAGTCTTTTTGAGCAGGAACACCTGGAACACCTGGAACACCTGTCTGCAGAGGTTCTGTGGTCTGAACAAACATCAAAGGTGCCCTGAAAGTTCTGCTTCGTTCTCAAAGTTCTGCTTCGTTCCCAAAGTTCTGCTTCGTTCTGAACGTTCTGCTTCGTTCTCAAAGTTCTGCTTCGTTCTGCTTCGTTCTCAAAGTTCTGCTTCTTTCTCAAAGTTCTGCTTCGTTCTCAAAGTTCTGCTTTGTTCTCAAAGTTCTACTTCGTTCTGCTTCGTTCTCAAAGTTCTGCTTCGTTCTGCTTCGTTCTCAAAGTTCTGCTTCGTTCTCAAAGTTCTGCTT